ACCTCGCCTTCGGTGGGTGCTCTGAGACCGCTCCGGATTTAAGGCGACCCTCGTCGGGGTTTCACAGGAGGCAAGGGTTCCCGGAGGGGTTCAAACGAGGATGTAACCACTTCGCCCGCTGCACCGCAGTAGGACTCTCACGACTGGGACTTTTTTCAGAGCAAACCTGCCAGCAAGGGGATCTGGTCCTGTCCAGCTCAACAACAACAACAACAACAACAACAACAATAATAATAATAATAATAATATAGCAAGTCCGAGGTTGCGGGCGGAGGAAACTTGCTCCCCACGGAGGGAGAGGCGAGAGCGGAGAGCGCGTTCCCTTTAAGAGGCCGGGTTCCCTCGCTCTGACGTCAGGGCCTTTCTGCACCAGAGAGCCCAACACCTGAGCACCCACTCCGGCAGCAGGAGGGGTGACCGAGAAGCGAGTCGCGTCGGAAGGTTCGGTCCCGCGCCCAGCATCCTTCCCTCGCGGCGGCGTTCCGGGCGGGCGTGATCCAGCGGCCGAGATGTCTGTGGCGGGCCTGAAGAAGCAGTTCCACAAAGCCACGCAGGTAGGGGGGAGGGGGTTGGAAGGCAGGGGACGCCGACGGGAAGGGTTTTTCCTCGCGCAGCTGCGAAGCTGCCCTCCCTTCCCCAGGGGTCGGCAATGCCCGTGTCGCCCTCTGAGCCGCAGCATCCCTCGGTGGCTGCAGCAGAAGCGGGGCAGGGGCCTGGGCCGTCTTTGGTCGGGCTGGTCTGCAGCAGGCAGCCCGGGGAGGGCGGGGGGACGACGACGACGACGACGACGACACACGTGCAAACGCACTCTCTTGGTTGGTTTCCCCTTCAGAGCGGCGTCATCTGTGCCCCCGCTTTCCCCTGTATCCTCTCTTTTGTTATATTTTTGGCAACCGCGGTCGCATCCCTTGAGAGGTTGGGGCCCGGCCTGCTGAGCCTCAAACGCGGGTCTTCGCACTTCTCCTCCGGTGTTTTCTCTCCCTCCCTTTCTCGCTCACACAGAGTTTCCCAACCCCCACCCCGTCTCTCGCTCCCCGCATTGGAGTAATGCAGCCGTCGCAGAACACGGGAGGATGGGTGGCTGGTGAAGGTCTGTGCTGCCGCTGCCGCCGCCCTGGATCGGAGGGGAGGAGAGGGGGAAGCCCTGTGGCCCGAACCCCTCACCCCACCCCACCCCATCCCTGCCAGTTTGAGGCCGCCATGTGCCTGGAGCCGAGAGGCGCGGGGTGGGGGTGGGGGTGAGCCGACCGATGGAGCTGTTTCCTGACCCTCCCCCATTGATTGTCCGGGCGGGACGGGGATTATGTAAAAGTCTCCCTCCAGTGACCTTACAGGGATGTCGTTCCCGGGGTCTCATCATCTCCCCTCGCGCTTTTGTCACCCAATGTCCCCCATTAGGGCCAGCCTTTCCTCTCCTAGCTCCAATCATTCCCAACCTCTCCGTGGGGAAAACCATTTCCTCTTCTAGTCATAAAATATTTTGCCCATGTAAACCTGTATTTTGCTTTTAAATTTTGACCCTAGTTTATTTCCAGAGTACAGGCCTGTACAAAGTATGAGACACTAACCCTTCCCCCTCTTTCCTGTCCTGGATTATTTCAGGCTCAGTTTGACTGTCAGAAAATTCTTGTAGAGGCAAAGGATTAATCTGTGCAAAAAATTATTTGGAAGAGGGAGAAGATTTTGACTTTTTCATTTGGTAAGGATGTTCCTGAAAGATACCATTGTGTTTGGCTTCAGAGTGCTTAGTGAGTAACTGCAGTGATTTAAAGAGGAGACTCTTGAGAGCAGAAGTAAAGTCCACTACTTCAGAGGGTCTTCCTAGGTAATCGTGCACAGGGTTGCAGCACTGAGGGAATTACTTTTAAAGTTGTAATGTTCTTACGCTGAAATTGAAAGATATTGTTTTTGTTTGAATTTATACTGGTATATACCAGGGGAAAGAAGGAGAGTTAAATTCTAATGTTTTGTAGGGCCAAAAAGGAGTGGAGGCCCCTTATTATATAATACTTCTTGTGAAGTTTCTCCAAGATGACATCAGACAGTTTAGATAGTATTATCACCCAACTGAATCTGATTACAAGATGCAATGTAACCAAGGAAGTTGCTAGACCTTGCGGCACTGCATCATTTTATGCTGTAGACAGGAGCATAGACCTTTAGGGCTGGCTGGCTGGAACAGTTCTTCTGGCACAGGCCTTCCAGGCTCCCTTCCACATCTTCTGTCTTGTTGGTGCTACATAAATTTCATGAATAACCAGCTTTAAATACTGTGAACAGAAGGAAATGGAACATTGTACAGTAGCAGTTGTTTGATTCATCTGGTACTAACATGGCATGGTTCATCATTTACAGTAGTGGCAGAATCATGGACTTACTGAACAGCTGCCTTCTTGTCTTTAAGCCTCTGTATCCAAAACACTTGGAGCTAAACCTTTCTGGAAGAAGGGAAGCTGAGTTCGTCACATTTAAGAATAAATGAAGAGCCCGGCTGGATCAGGCCAAGGGCCCATCTAGTTAGCTTCCTCTGTCTCACAGTGGCCCCACCAGATGCCTCTGGGACCACACAAGATGGCTAGATACCCGTCTCCTGATACCACTCCCCCTGCACTTGGCATTTTGAGGTACCTTCCTTCTAAGCCTGGAGATTATACATCCCCATCATGGTTTGTAATCTGCAATTGAGTTTTCCTCCAGGAATCTGTCCAATCCCCTTTTAAAGGCATCTAGGGCATATGCAATCACCATATCCTATGGCAAGGAGTTCCACACACTGGGTAAAGAAAGATTTTCTTTTGTCTGTTCTCACTCTCCCAACAGTCAATTGGAGTGGATGTCCCCTGGTTCTACTTAGTATTGTGTGAGAGGGAAAAGAGCTTCCCTCTATCCACTTTATCCATTCCCTGCATAATTGTATACATTTCAATCATGCTGATAACTAGAGTTTTGATTTTTTTTTGTCCCAATGTGCATTACTTTACATTTTCTTATACAGTATCAAGATGCATTTGCTATTTTGCCGCCCATTCTCCCAGTCTGGAAGGATCCTTCTGGAGCTCTTCCCAATCCCTTCTGGTCTTTACCACTCAGAAAAGTTTTGTGCCATCTGCAAACTTGGCCACCTGACTGCTTGTCCTTGTCTCCATGTCATTTATGAATAGAGCTGTTGTTTAGAAGACTCTCTCCAGCCAGTAAAGCATGAATTATCGTTCTAATAGCCTAGAAATGTGACTTACTGATCAAGTCACAGTATAAGAAACTACTATATTGAACCAATACCTTTTTTGTTTTTGTTTTTAAAAACTGTTTTGAGAACTTGCTTTAAAAGAAAATATAATTAGTACCAGCCAAATTATAGTGGACATCTCTGATGAAAATAAAGTAGTATAGTTCCTCTGAAATTGAATGTGGTGTCCCAGACACTTGAATTCAAACTACATGGAAGGCTTATGGTCAGAGTAGAGGAAATGAGATTTATGACCACTTGTCCTCTGCTTACCTCTGCTGCCTCCTGGTTAGCATAATCTGACAAGACTGTTGCATACAAATCTCACTTATCCCCCTGCCTGCACAAGGTAAAAAGGAGCTGTGTGTACTTTTACACTTCCTGCATGAATTTTTGGATTAAATCTCTTGGGTCTTTCCTCCCCTCCATATTATGGCTCCATGGCTGCTGCCCTGGCCATCTGTGTGCTTCTCTGGATTGCTTCCCATATCACATTTTTTAAAAAAGTATACAGTATAGACGTGCACATCTAAAATATGTGTGTAGCAGGTAGGAGTCTATAAGAACAAATGGAGGTCTAATGAGAAAACATGGGGGAGGGAGAGTAACCCTCCTTTCATAATAGCAGTAACATTTGAGGTTTAAATCCAGGTGTTAATCTCAGCTGGAATAGATCCATTGAATCAGTTGCTGTGATAGCTGCTTTACCTCTCTACTTCCTAAACCCTGTGTGGCTTATGAAGTGCAGGGGCAAAACAGCCTTGAAAGGGCTGCAGGATCAAAGGGCTGCAACCCTGCAGCCCTTTCATCACTGCTTTCCCCCTCCACTTCTGCAGCCCTTTGATCCTGCTTTTGCGGGGTTTAGGAAATGAAGGGGGAAAGCAACAATCAAATTTTCTTCTTTGGGGGAAAAGTGGAGGCTGTTTTATGCATTGGGTTGTGTTATACACGGTATGGTACTTCTGAATATTGCAAGAGGTGTCATTCAGAGGGATTGGAGGGGGCTTTCCCCCAACTTTTAAAGATTTAAAATATTGACATTAAAAAGTAACATGTTCATCCTAAAATAAAATGCAGCAAGTAATGATTAGCAGAGTGCCTTTCTTTTCAATGTAACATGAGTGTGTTAATATTTTAGAATAACATTATAACCCCAGTTTAGAACCTCAGTCCCTTTCCCAGATAAAATGAAAATATTAATTAGGACTGCAGCCTCATGGCATAGTGATTAAACTGCTGTACTGCAGCCAAAACTGTGCTCATGACCCAGAGTTCAATCCCAGGTTGCCGGGTCAAGATTGACTCAGCCTTCTATCCTTCCAAGGCCAGTAAAATGAGTACCCATCTCGCTGGGAGAGCAATGTGTAACCTGCATAATTAGCTTGAAAACCGAGCAGAGAGTTTCAAAGACACCAGATGCATAAAACATAGCATCCTTTATATGTGTGTGTATACGTGTGGGAGGACTCTAATTTTACCCCTTCTTGGAGTTTATTGTCTGTTACAGGTTGGAGAGACTTTCTCAAGAGCAGTCTTCATTTCTCCCCCTACCCATTCCTCAATCAACGGGTGTTTAGTTGCCCTTAACATGTTCTGCCTTTAGGAAGGAATACTCAAGGTGACAGAGACTTTGATTGTTTGTTATGTTGCCATTCCAACTAGAGTTGGTACTGTGTCCAAATTGAGGGCACATATTTGCATCTTTAGATATACACTAGGAAAAAATGTGAATGTGCAATGTGAAAAAAAGATGCTGCATGTGAATATATCTTGCCTGTCCTTGCGAATACCTGTATGTTTCCAAACTCGCTTGCTGGGGAGTGAGCTTCTGTTCTGTGATGAACGGGTCCAAGTCAGCTGCCATGTGTTGTGTGAAATGAACCTAAAGCCATCTTCAGCCTGAAAGTCTATTCTTATAGATGGTTGTTGTCTTCTTGACAATAAAGGTTATCTTGGCTCTCCCTGTGTAATTTTTTTTTTTTAAGCTGTGTTTATTGTGAAAAATGGCTCTGGTCTTCATACCATTTACTAATATAACTCAAGAATCTGATTGGATATCATCCAATCTTGGAATTATAGAAAAGTGAAATTGGAAGGGGCCTACAAGGCCATCAAGTCCAACCCCCTGCTCAGTGCAGGAATGGGAGGACTCACCAACTCCCATGGTAACTGGTTTCACTGTTGTACTGCACTAAGAGTTAGGATGTTTTTCCTGATATTCAATGGAAATCTGGCTTCCTTTAACTTGAGCCCATTGTTGCGTGTTCTGCACTCAGGGATGACCAGGAACAGATCCTGCCCCTCCTCTGTAGGACTGCTTTTCAAATA